CTCCGATCTCAGTCTCCGGTTCCAAATTCGGTCTTCCTGTAGTACTGTCAAAGATCACACTACCTCCCAACTCGGGACTTGCCAAACGGGTTTTCAGTTCTTTCGGTATCTCAGATTTATTACGCCAAAGCTCCCATTCTAGATGGTGTGACTGAGATTACAGATTTCTAAATCCTACCGATCATTAAATAGCTGTTAACTGTATCATATAGCAATTTTTCGAAAACGTCATCCATGGAATTCGAACTCTAGATCTGCCGTCTGGGGTGTGACAACTCCACCACTTCACTAAGTCACCACACCCCATAATGATTAAGAATTAAATATAATTCAATATACATAATTATATATTAATTATTATGAAATCTAATGTTATTAAACGTAATCAAAGCACTATTTTTATTCCTGTATTAGATTAAATTGCAAGAAGATCTTGAATGAAAGTCTTGTATTCTGAAACATATTTATTAAGATATAAAGTTCAAGTTAATAAAAAAAAAGTAAAACTAAATTCTAAATAGTAGGAAAAGTGTAAAAGTTCAAGTTAATAAAGTAATGAATCTTAAGTATTTTGAAAGAGTAGATCTAAATTTTAAATAGTAGAAAAGCATAAAAGTTCAAGTCAATAAAGAAGAGATAAATCTAAATTTTAATAGTAGGGAAGTATAAAAGTTCAAGTTAATAAAGAAGAAGTAAACCTAAATTCTAAAAAGTAGGGAAGCATAAAAGTTCAAGTTAATAAAGTAAAGAACCTTAAGTAGTGAAGGAGTAGATCTAAATTCTAAATAGTAGAGAAGCATAAAAGTTCAAGTTAATAAAGTAATGAACCTTAAGTAGCAAAGAGATAAATCTAAATTCTAATAGTAGAGAAGCGTAAAAGTTCAAGTTAATAAAGAAGAGGTAAATCTAAATTCTAAATAGTAGGGAAGCATAAAAGTTCAAGTTAATAAAGTAACGAATCTTAAGTAGTGAAGAGATAAAACTAAATTCTAAATAGTAGGAAAACATAAAAGTTCAAGTTAATAAAGTAATGAATCTTAAGTAGTAAAGAGGTAAATCTAAATTCTAAATAGTAGAGAAGCAAAAACAAATAAGTATCAAACAAATAAACAACCAGTTGCGTATATACTATACGAACAGTATGAACGGTATGAAAGGCATGGACGATACGGATAGTACAGATAGTGCGATTGATCAAGTGATCGATATTAAATATTATATCCTCGCAATTTCATTGGCTAATCATAGACTGGCGATATATTGCACTGGTGATAAATGATAATTTTCTTATTTAAATGCTATTTAATATGCTATTAACAACCTACTATTTAACATTATCTCATAGCTTCACAAATGATAATACTAAATAGTAGATTGTTAAATAATGCTATTCAGAGGTGTAGTGATCTAGTGTAGTAGTTAGGTTGTCACCCTCATTAAGTGGCAGGTCAAAAGTTCAAAACCTACTGAGAACAGAAAATTTGAATAATTATCTGTGTTATAGCAACTGTCTTTCATTGATCAGTTGGGATAGGATTAGTGTTACAAGCTGGCTGGGGCAGCCATGGCTAAGGCGGCTTAGCCGGCTAAGCCAGCCAATATAAATGTATCGGCTGGCTAATATGGCTGAGAGTATGATATTCACGTGACAAGTATATATAATAATAGACGAATCAAATCAAACGCAGATTCATATATATTGTTAGAGTGCCAAAAGTTTTTTCTTTGAAAAATACTTTTTTTATTTCATATTGCTGTTTTATATTTATTGAAATACTTCCAGATCTTTGAAAGATCTGTCATATTTTAGAAGCGTTAAAATTTTTTTTTTATTGCCAGAAAATCAGAAATAAAGGTATACGTTATTTTTATTATAAAAGTTTAAAGGTTCCATATTTCAAATAAACTAATCAAATAAATGCTTCACTTTAATAATCTATATAAAATATTTTATATTTTTAGTGCAAAAAAAAAGTATCAGAAGTTTCTTTTATGATCTATTTGGTTTATCTGAGAAAGTTTAAAAAAATGTTCTAAAAAAAAAAACTATAGCACTTTATACGACGCTCTATACATTTACCAAGTTTATCATTCTTATTTAAACTATCTAAAATTCAAAATTTTTTTTTTTCATTAATAGAAATACAAAGCCATTTTTCTTGTAATTGTTTGTAAAGTATGTGTGAATTCTAAATTTAAGCCAAACCCAGGTATACACTACAAATTTTGGAGTTTTTCTTAAAAAATAATATATCATGAACTGTGTCGGGGTCTAATTGATTTCTCTTATCAGTAATTGTATTGCTTGCATTCAAAAAGATTCTTTCTGAAGAAACTGATGTGGCCGGAAAAGCCAAATATTTTCTTGCCAGTTAAGAAAGAAAAGGAAATAGTGATTTGTGTTCATTCCACCAGGTTAATGGATTAACCTTACTATATTCTTTGTTTTTAATATGATATTTAGAAATTTGAGATAGATTATCATAAAAAGCCACTTCTTCTTCAACCAAGGATGAATTTTCATTTGCAATTAAAATATCCTTATCATCATCATAAAATGAAGTGAAAAAAGAAGAATTAGTGCTTGATGGTTCTGTTTCTTGAATAGAAGTTAATCGTTCCTGGTTATTATATAAAGTATAAAGATAAGTAAGAGTTTCATTTTTTTTAGCAGATGTTATATAACTCATTTTTTTGAATCTCGGATCTAAAAAAGAAGCTATAAGACTATTAAGTGATGGTTCAAACTATCTTGATAGCATTGATTCATTAATTTTACGGCAACAAGCTTTTACTGTTATTGATATTATTGTTGGATAAAAATCTCATAAATGGCATGAAAGCTTAATAAGGGTAGGTATCATAATTCCTAAAGTAGAATATTGATTTCCTCCGATATATCCTGTTGCTTGTGTAAAAGGATGTAAAAGTTTTGCTAATTCGTCTAATGAATTCCATTCTTTAGTTGATAAGAGAGCTTCTAAAATTTTTAAACTATCTTGCCTTTCTTGTCAATTAACACTTTGCCTTAAATCATCAGCTAACTGTATAATAGCATTACGAAGAAGAAAAAGGTTTTTTAAAAGATTGTAAGTTGAACTCCAACAAGTTCTAGTATCACTTGAAAGGGGGTTGACTGGATGCTGTA